AGAGCTACACTTTTTTTTATTTTATATATGAGGGATTTGACTTACTGGCAGTTCTTTGTACCAAATAGTACAATATACCCATATACGATTCAATCTTTTCACCTAAAACAATAAAAAGTAAGAAGAGGACTAAATTTAAAAATAAATATAAGATGTTGATCTAAAGCGAAACATCTACACAATACTTTCTAATCACACTTTTCGTAATATATTTAATAAAATTTATAAGGGATTTAATAATCATATAAGAGGTATGAAACCATAAGCTTAAAATTAAGCTTACCTAATTCTTCATAAGATTTTAGAGTCCTACCTGTTACTAAATTAAAATAGTGATTTTAATTAAGAATTTGAACCTTAATTTGATAGATCCTATCTTCAACAGCCCCCAAAGTTTGTATTTTTTAAATTATACTAATATTGCAAATTTACTAAAACAGCTCTCTACTTAAATCTAATTTATAAATCGTTTAAAAATTTTTGTAAGAGTAGAGAACTGCTGTTTAATAAATTTTGTTTAACTTTTCTCCTTGTTTATCTTGATTATTATTATAACTTATACAGGAGGTATATTAATTTTATTTTTATACTCATGTGTTTTGTCTCTAACTCCAATAACCAAGTTTTTATTAGGGCAGGGGATTTTCAAAGACTAACCGACCTAAAACATACAGTGTGCGTAAACTTGCAATTATTGCGGAAAGTATATGGAAGGTAAATAATTATCTTAAATAACTGGCCTATAACCAAACGAACCGCAAACTTGCAAGATACATATCGCCATTTAAACTTTTACAGCATACCCATTTTTATTTTTAAGGAACCTGGGAACCATAGCATGTGAAGAAGAAGCGTGATAAAATCAAAGTTTATCGTAGTCGTAATTCATAATAAAAATAAAATAAAACTGAGAAAGAGAACTCTATAAATTTTATAAGCTCAATATTATATTAGTTTTATTTATCATTTTATATCCTTGATGTCACATTTATAATTTATTTATATAATACAATTGTAGTAGTGTCATATAAATCGTAATTCATATATTCTTTCATAATCACTTAATACCCTACCATTTAAGGGCTTTTTCGACTTTAGATTTATTTGCAAATGTTTTCAGGAGGTTGTGACTCGTCATACAGATGTTCTCTGTCCTCGATCTAATGTATATAATAAAAAATCAATTTAAAATTAATTATATTAAAATCAGGATAATGATAACAAAAAAATAAAATAAGTATAGTCAAAAATTACTTATGGGAAAGATTACCTTAAATTTTTAAAGGAATATAAATATGAATTAGCCACAAATTAAAAGGATTCGACCTAATTTAAAAAAATATGTATAATGTCTCATTTACATCACCGCTTTTGTAGAAAATTTTCTTAATCTAGAGAGGTTTGTTTTTAGAAGAAAAAAACGGACTTAGACATCAATTTTAAAAATACTTTTATTGTAATAAATATTTAAGCCCAAAGGTATATCTACAGCACATCTTTATTTAATTGTGTTTCATTTATTTTTAATTTGCAAAATAATTTTGCATAATAAAAAGATTTTATCAAAAATGACAAGTTAAATAATTTATAAAAAACTTAACTCGTTATTTTTGAAATGCATCTAACTAAACACTTTTGAAATAAAATGTAACAAGTAAAATAGTTACGTAGAGAATATTTATAAAGATTATAAACACAACTGACCATAGGTGAGTGAATTTGGTGGCTTTAACTTAAGTAATTTAAAAGTTATTTATTGGACCATTTATAGCCCTTTATATAATCATAACTCCAAAACCTTTCGAATATTCAACCTAATTTTTTATATATCATGATTTCTTAGTTCCACTTAAAAAAATATCAAAAGAAATAAGTATCAATTTTATATCTGTGATAACGATGAAGCAGTTAGTGATTTTTACTTTTATTTTCATAAAAATGCGCTTAATTGATATTTTTTAAATAAAATTTCGGGAACAAAATTTGGACTAGAAATATTTTATGCATGCAGCTTAACTTAAAAATTTACAAGCTTAGGCCAAAAATTGAATTTGTCGATTTAAAAAAAAAATATTATAATATTTATCATCCCTAGTATCCAACTCAAATCTCCAACTCAAATCTATGTGGACCAATTTTATTTAAAATCATCAGAATCGGAATAAATATATTATTTTCAGAATATTAAAACATATTTAAAAATCAGTTAAAGAAATTTCTGAACACTCAAAAATTAAATTTAAAAAGGTTAATTTATTTTAATCCTCCCAATTAATAAATTGAGAGCGCTATAAAAATGGTGATAATGAAAAATTTTAGACAAAATATTGGTAGAGATAATGTTTAGGATGGTTGTGATATTAAAATTTGTAATAAAATTGAGATTATATTTTCCATAAAGATTGTAAGTAGTAATAAAATAAATTAAAAAATCAGAGGCATGTTCTCCTACCCTCGACGTTAGCATTCTCTATGATTTTTGTTCATATTGTAAATATGAAAATAACATACCATCTTACTTATATCCTACATCTAGTAAATGGTAAATTTCTGCTTATCTTATCTACTAAGAATTTGTTTTGAAAAATTAAACCTTTCTTTTAAAGAATAGTAAAAGCTTTTCAAGTGACTTTATCGTAATCAGTGAGTTGTTAATTTGATCTTTGATGAATTTTGGAGCATCTGGGTCAAGCTTCTAATAATAATTATTATATTAATAATCGAGGAGTATGGATATAATATTAACTATTTAAAATTAAGGGGCATAACTTTAAATTCATTTTGTATATTCGGCGCTAATTTGCGCTAACCATGAATCCAAGGTAAGAAGCTTTAACTTAACTCTTTTCTAAGGTATATAATATTAAATAGTAAGAAGACAAGATCTACTCAGTGTCAATAAACAATTTTTTGGATGGGGGAGGAGTTCGTGTCAATAAAAAATTGCATATTTTACTCGATTCGACCGGAAATCGTATTCAATCACTTTTCATCATTTTTAAAATGAGATTGGTATCCTTAGGTCTCCGTAAGCCCAGAAAGATGGTATGATTTTCTCATGGGTAGTGTTGTTAATCGACTAAATTTAGTCGACTAACAGAGGACTAACTAATAGTTTTAGTCGAACAATTCAACTAAAAACTTTAGCGAACTAAAACGATTAGTCGACTAAAAACGACTAATAAGTCGACTAAAACGACTAATTTAGTCGACTAAAACGACTAATCAGAGAAGATAAACAAAAAGAAGTAAAGTGAGAATTTGTCATTAAAATAACTATATGAGTTATATATAAGTTATTTTTAATATATTTTTTTTTTGAACTTTTTTAAAATTATTTTAAAGCAAGGTATAAATATATATTGTAAACATGTTATATTAAAATTTCAGTGAAGATGTACCATAGAAAAGTGACAATTGTCATAATCGTCATTTATAGGTTTTTTTGAAATTTTTTGAAGCAAATGGGTAAAAATATATATTTTAAACATGTTAAAATAAAATTTAAGCGAAGATGTACCATAGAAAAGTGACAATTGTCATAATTGTCATTTATAGGTTTTTTTGAAATTTTTTTAAGCAAATGGGTAAAAATATATACTGTAAACATGTTAAAATAAAATTTCAGTCAAGATGTACCATAGAAAAGTGACAATTGTCATAATCGTCATTTTTAAGTTTTTTTGGAATTTTTTGAAGCAAATGGGTAAAAATATATATTGTAAACATGTTATATAAAAATTTCAGTGAAGATATACCATAGATAAGTGACAATTCTCATAATCATTATTTTTTTAACTTTTTTGAAGTAACAGAGTAAAATAAATTGTAAACATGTTAATTTAAAATTTAAATGAGGATGTGACATATGACAATTAATATAATCGTTAATTTTAAGATCTTTAAAATAATTTCTGAAACAAGCTGGGTTTTAGCCTACGCCCTTCCATCTAATTTTAAAAGTGCTGACCTATTTAAAAATTTAAACTTTTATTAGTTATTTAAAATTTATTAGGTAAACATTAAAAAATATATGCTTCATTTTTAACATTTTTAATACTAAAGTACCGATTACTGTTTTGGATATTATTGCTGAGAGAAGGTAATTAGATTAAAAATACTTTTTGGATTTTTTTGCATATAACTAACATCGACGTGGATAAAAATTTAATTTTACACTTTTTCCCAAAAGCAAAGAAAATTCAATTATAAATGAAGTCAAGATTATATCACACAAAAGAAGGGTGTAAATTACAATTTATTTAAAGGAATCAATATGATAAATATATTTAACTATCAATTGATTTTTTTTAAACTTATAAATGTTTAAAATAAATAAAATATCTTTGAAAACCTAGAAAATAAATTATACAAAAATATCTTTTTCAACCAATGTGCAAAATTTAAAAAAAAATGAAGAGGGTAGGGTTGAAAATTGACTTTTTTGTCGATTTGATATGGAATTCACCATATATTTTTACCCATTTGCTTCAAAAAATTTCAAAAAAACCTATAAATTGCGATTATGACAATTGTCACTTTTCTATGGTACATCTTCACTGAAATTTAAATAAAACATGTTTACAATATATATTTTTACCCATTTGCTTCAAAAAATTTCAAAAAAACATATAAATGATGATTATGACAATTGTCACTTTTCTATGGTACATCTTGACTGAAATTTAAATATAACATGTTTACAATATATATTTTAATCCATTTGCTTCAAAAAATTTCAAAAAAACTTAAAAATGACGATTATGACAATTGTCACTTTTCTATGGTACATCTTCACTGAAATTTAAATATAACATTTTTACAATATATTTTTACCCATTTGCTTCAAAAAATTTCAAAAAAAACCTATAAATGACGTTTATGACAATTGTCACTTTTCTATGGTACATCTTCGCTTAAATTTTATTTTAACATGTTTACAATATATTTTTTTACCCATTTGCTTCAAAAAAACCTATAAATGACGATTATGACAATTGTCACTTTTCTATGGTACATCTTCACTGAAATTTAAATATAACATGTTTACAATATATATTTTTACCCATATGCTTCAAAAAATTTCAAAAATGACGATTATGACAATTGTCACTTTTCTATGGTACATCTTCACTGAAATTTTGATTCAACATGTTTACAATATATATTTATACCTTGCTTTAAAATAATTTTAAAAAAGTTCAAAAATAATTTATAATTTTAACCTGTTCCTTCAAAGAAAAATAAATTCAAAAAATATTAAAAATAACTTATATATAACTCATATAGTTATTTTAATGACAAATTCTCACTTTACTTCTTTTTGTTTATCTTCTCTGATTAGTCGACTAAATTAGTCGTTTTAGTCGACTAAATTAGTCGACCAAATTAGTCGACTAATTGACTAATTTAGTCGCTAAAGTTATTTCCTAGACTACGACTATTAGTCTTAGTCTAGGAAGAAATCAACTAATTAACAACACTACTCATGGGCTTAAATTTTTTTAAAATGAATCCGGGTCAATTTTTAATAAAAATATTTAGATTATATTAATTAATCAGTTGGGAAGTGTGGAAAATTATAAAATGGAGTGTTATAGTCATTTATTCTTCACATTTATGTTTAATTTTCCCTTGAAACAATTTAAAAAATACGGCTAAAATTGTACAGAATAATAAAACTTTTAAAAATTCGTGCCAGGACATGAAAATTAAAAATCCGGGCCAAAATATTTCTTAAAAACATCCAGCACCGGTGTAACGTGTGAAAGTGATTACCGTGAGATTTCGAATTCTCACACCATCAAAATCTCACGGCTGACACCGTGTGAAAGTGATTTCATGAGATTTTGATTTTTATCACTTCAAATACATTGGGGGCCATTTAAATCATCAAAATCTCACGGCTATTCAATATTTCAAAATCTCATGGATTTTTTCAAAATCTCATAGATATTTTTAAAATCTCGCATTATTAATTTAAATATACTTTTAAAACGTCAGATTTGAATAAGGCTGTCAAATTAAAAATATTTCTATATAATACAATTTAATTTGAAATTCTTTTTCATTGAAGTAAATTTTTAACGGAAATATATTTTTATTTCAGAAATATTTTAGCTCAAATTATAATGATATATATGACTTCCTTGTATTCTCTAAAATTCCGGTGAATGTTAATAAGGCTAATTTTCTAAGAAAGATAACCGCCTTCAAGATTATAGAAAATCAATTATTCTATGGGGAAAGTAAATTTTAGATATGTCATGATTAATTTATTAAAATTAGCCATTATAAGTTTAATGCAATATATTATTTTTTAACATTGAAAAATGCTCAGGCCATTGATTATTATCTTTTTTTCATCTAAAATTAATTATAGCTGCAAATGTAAGTGTATATATATATATATATGTAAGAACATTTAATAAAATTTTACATATAGTCATTATTAAATGCTATTTTACAACTAAAATTTAATTTAGATTATCACATAAAGATGAAAAGTAAATGTTAGATACTTTTATTATAATGTATATTGGGCTTATAAATGATTGCATAATTAATTTATTAAAGTTAGGTATTATAATATATACAACTAAAATTGTATGACAAAATTAAGTGCAGTTTATTATTCTAGCCATTAATTATATATATTTTTTCTGCATCACAAATATTATTATATATATTTTTTCTGCATCACAAATATTATTATATATATAATTTAATGATATTTTAGAAGAAAGAAAAGTTATACTGACAGGAGATGAACAAAAAAAAATAATTAAAACAATACATGAGGGGGGTGTATCTACAGTTGCAGGTATTGCTATGGGAGGGCATCTGGGGATTAATAAAACTAATCAAATAATAGCTGAAAAGTAAAAATTTGCAATATTCTTTTAATTATTTTTTTTAAGCTTTTATTGGTTGGGGAGCAATAAAAGTGTTAGAGAGTTTATCAAATCCTGTGAGGTATGTCAAAAATCAAGCAGTCGTTTTGATAAAACCTCAAATGTTTTACACAATATTAAAGTTGTGCCAAAGTCTTGGTATCAAATTGGCATCGATTTAATCTAGATGCCAGAATCCAAGGAAAAATACAAATATATTTTATGTGCCATATGCTATTTTTCAAAATATTTAATGGCTATTCCTATTAAGGATAAAACAGCTAAATCTGTTGTAAAAGCCTTAAACATCATTGTCAACACCCATCAATGCTATGAAGTAATAAAATAAAAATACCAATTTTAACTGAATTTTATTATATTAATATATTTTTTTTTAAATTTAATAAAACTAAAATATATATTTATTAAAGATTCAGATAAATGATCAAGGCAGGGAATTCTGTAACAATGTTTGTACAGAATTCCATAAATATTGTGGGATTGTCCAGAGAGTAACCTCAGCCTACCACCCACAAGCAAATGGTTTGGTTGAGCGAGTTAACAGAACAATCCAGAACCGAATAGCAAAATCGGTTTTGGATATCCCAACTGACTGGCCAGATGCTTTGGTAGGGGTGTGTGGCACCTACAATTCTTGCATACACTCTTCTACGGGATTTTCGCCCTATGAACTGATGTATGGTCAGAAACCACGACGCCCTCTTACAGTAGAAATAATTTTTAATGTTATATTTTTAATTATTATTTAGTTACAAAACAAAATTGAGGATGTATTAGCCTTGCCAGAGGTTATGGCAAAAATAACAATTGATCATTGTTTAAAAGAAGAGTTAGAAATTAAAATGGCTCATCTTAAAAAAATAACCAAACTGGCTATACAAAATTTTGGTATAGCCCAGCTTAAACAAAAAAGGAATTACGAAAAAAGATCAAATGGTTCTAAATCTTTTATTTTGGGACAAAAGGTTCTTGCTTGGAACCATAAAAGGTCAGATAGGAAAGGAGGGAAAATGTTGAACCCCTGGATAGGCCCTTATTTGATCAATAAAATATTTGATAAGGGTAATAATTTTATATTATATTAATTAATACTGTATATCAAGGTGTATATGAATTAATAACCACAAATAATCTCATATTAAAAACAAAATATAATTTATCCAATTTAAAAGAATTTATTGTAAGAAACAATGAATATCCAGATGAAAATGGTAATGATTTTTAAAAAATTACATTTTTTATGAAGTAAAAAAAATATTTTTAGATACAAAAATTAATATTTAATAACATTATAATTATTTTTAAATTAATGCATTGCCTTTAGATAGTAGTTCCCAAAATGGCCTTTATGATCAAATTATTCCACTTGCTATGGAGTTTGTTGATCCAAAGTCTCCCAGAGGTATTGTATATAGGATATATTTGAATTATTTTTTTGAAAATAAAGCAGCACATGTGTTACCTATAGATAGTGGTTCCCAAAATGTTGAGTTTGAAGATAAAAATATTCAGCTTGACAGGGATTTTATTAATCCAAAGACTCCCATAGGTAATGTTATTTCTGATATATATTTGATTTATTTTTTAATTTATTACGTATACAGAATTGGATGATGATATTTTGATGATAAATAAATTAGAAAATATCCCTAGATATTTTCTTCCTACAACAAAGGTATGGAAAAAATATCATGCTAAAATATATGGTCTAAAGCCTCCCAAACGTTGTCGGGATGTAGACTATGGGAAACAACTTGGTGAACCCACCATCCTGGTGCAAATTGAAGGTGATGGGAATTGTTTTTATAGGTAAAACATATTAATATAAAATTTCATTTTATTCTAATTTATATAATTTAGGGCGATTAGTGTAGAGCTTACTGGAGCTCAAAATTCCCATGTTATTCTCAGGCAATGGTTGGCACAATTTATGCTAACATCCGAGATGGGAAAGGTAATTGAAAATTATCTTTACGAGACGAACAAAAAAATAGACATAAAAACTTATGTCTCAAATAATGTAATGACACAAAAGATATGGGCTTCTGACACAGAAGTCAGGGCGATGGCCACAATGTTAAATACGGCTATTTTTACTTATATAAAATATAATGATAATTTTGTATGGGCCCGATATGACCCATTTTATATTCGCGACAATATTAAAATATTTAATAATAATTTTATTTATATAAAAAATGAGGGGAGTCATTTTGAAAATGTTTTAGATTGCGATTTATCTTCCATCTAATCACTATTTATTATTTTTATTAAAAAAAATTTTTATATAAATATATTTCATTCATATTATAATTTATCGCCTTATATATATATTTTTTATGAAAGTTGTAGTTTATAAATAATATTCAATTACATTCTGATATGAAATATATGATAATAATTATATTTTTCCATGATGTTTTTATTAAATTTAAAATTATGTATATATCAATAAAGTTCTTCGTCTATTTTCTTATACTAAATAAAGTTTTATCTAATATTTGTGACCCAATTCAGTACAAAATAATATAGAGATGGATTATCTTTAAAACATTATATTAGGTAAACAAAATAAGCATTATGATTAAGCCATTTAGGCTAAGAATTTATCTTACTGTTTCTTTGCTGTGATTTTTAGAGGGTTGGGTAGAAAAGACGGTTTGCCTCTAGTAAATTTTCTGTCATATATGAGCTTTGTCTAAATTAATGTCTATCGAGAAGATGTTTGTATAATAAATATCATGGGATCGGAGTATTTGGTTATTTTATAAATTTCATGTTGTGTAAATTAGCATGTTAGTAAGGATCTCTTCCCTACCTAAATATTGCTAAACTTTAATTATGATATTGATTGGAGCCTCCTATCAATAATCTGAACTAGAGGTCTGGATTGGGTGGTTTTTTTGCCCGTACTTTAAAAAAAATATTTTCAACATTGGGCGAGAGGGTTAAAAAATTTGGGAGAATTTGATATTTTTCAGGCAAAATGAGCAGAACAGTAAATAGTTTTTACATTAAAATAAATAAAGAGCCAAACCAGCCATAAAATAATTTTAAAACAAAATATATATAAAAAAATTATAAGTGAGAGCGAGGGCAGGTTAAATAAATCTTTTCGCTAAAAACCCGCCCATTACAGACCTCTAATCTGCATATCTTATCACACACTATTTGGTATGATATGTAGACTAAAAATATAAATTTAAAACTATAGAGAGGCGGCGACTATTTAGATAAGATAGATAAAAAAAAACATTTATAAAAAATGTACGCTACATGGATTTGAACCCGCATTTTGAGGATAGGTAATGTAAGTCTTACTAACTAGACTACCCACCACACCTTGTAATACTTAATTTTATTTGTTATATATAATCTACTTTTAAATTAAATTTATATATATCAAAAAGAGAAATTTTATTATATTGTTAACTTTAATGATGTTAAAATAAAGATGAGCTCTTGAAATGAAACAATATATTTTACAAAGCATTACTAAAATATTATTTTAAAACATAGATTATAATTAAATATTTAGGTGTGATACCATTATTGTCTCTATATTATATTTTATATCCTTAACTTTAATGATGTTCCTTGATTTTACAGCTCTCATTATTCGACTTAATGATCTTAAAAAAATAAAGATGAGTTCTTAAAATGAAACGATATATATATCTTGCAAAGCATTATTAAAATATTATTCTAAAACATAGATTATAATTTAACAGTTAGGTTTTATACCATTATTGTCTCTATATTATATTATAATTTAAATTCATGTCATGAAAATTTTTGCATTTATCGCTTCAAAAACATTGGGGGCCATTATCATCAAAATCTCACAACCCATCCGTGTGAAAGTGATTGCGTGAGATTTCGAAATCTCACAGATCACTTTCACACGTTACACCGGGTTTAAAAATGAAATTCTCAAATACGTGCTTGGTAATTAAGCTATTAGAATATAAATAAAACTATGCAATGATTATAGCAAAATATAAATAATTGGTAAATGACTAAATAAGATAATATTAATCACATCTTCTGATATAGAACAATCAATACATTATTAGGATAATGCTGGCTTTCCAATTAATATCGAACTTACAACTATTTCACTTCCTAATAATTTACGTCCAGGTGGTGTAACTATGACTTCTTAGCATAGAGGGAGACAATTCGTGCGTAACTGGGTTTCCACTCATTAAAAATGGTTGTTCTTAGCTTTACCGAGTGTCCCAAAATAAATAAATAAATACTCTGAATTTTAGAATTTTCTTCATGATTCATATTTATTCTACTATATTATGATATCATTCCAAGTTTGATTGTTTTTTTAAATCTGTAGAAAAATAAAAATCCTATCAAATGACCCAACCAAATAATACTTTTAATTTAAGACAAAAATTTTAATTGGGTGGAAACCTCATATAAGGAATACTTTCCCTTTACTAATCTAGATACAATTGTAATATTATTTTTTTTTAAATTTGTTTTATTTATATATTGATAATTTATATTAATTTTTGTCATTACATAATTACTATGTGTTTCATTAAAAATAAATAAACCATTTATATTAAAAAAAATTATGATTTTAAGGAAATCAATGTGAAATTAAGGATAATTTATGTATTATTTATTTATTTTTATTACATTTTACTGTGTATAAAAATGGAGAAAAAAATGCAAAATCTGCAATATTTTGATAGGGTGGTTTAAAATTTTGTAAGCCCCTACACCGTAGTTACGGTTCTGGATCTATTTATTCTACTTTAACGAAGAAAGGACAAAGTAAATATATTGAAAGTATTCCTTGTAAATTTTAAATTATATTTATAAGGAATATAGTTTGGTATTAGCGTAGCCGATCTATTTTGGCTAAGGCTGAGCTTATTATTTTGATTGGCTAACGTTCTACTTTGCTGTAAATTTTATAATAATTTAATTGAGAAGATTAGGTAAAAATGAAAAGTTTAAATCGGTTTTAATCGAAATTCAATATAATTTTCGTATACGTCATTATAAAACTCTTCAAATGTTTTTTTAATGAAAATAATAATTAATATTTTAAATCTGTTTTAGTAGAAATTCAAATAATGTAATTAGGAAGCGTGACAATTTTTATATTCGCCATTTTAAAACTTCATAGCCAAAATAAATTAGCTCAGGCTTGGCCTTAGCCAAAAAAACCGGCTATTAACCAAATATAATAAGAAATAGTTTTCCCATAAATTTAGTCAAAAAAAATCAAATTAAGAAAATATTTACTAAAACTTACATTGTGAATATTAAGTGGCAATAAAATCCTTGGGTCATCTATTTCAACTTGGCGAATGATTTGAGATATCGTGTGCTCCAATTTACGCATATTTTTATTGATAAGACTTAAATGGGCCATATTCTGTGGCAAATTATCTTCCCTATTTCGAATATAAACAAACATAAATCGAATATAATAGGCATTATGTATTTAAGGAAGATGAGACCCAATTTCTATTAATTCATCTAGAATATAATCATAAAAAAAAGTCATTTTATCCATATGATTAATATTTAAAAAATTATGAAATTCAATTATTCAAAAAAATTCAAATTTTCATTGCAAATATTCCTAACTAAATTTTAAAAATTAAAGCAACAATCAAATATTTTAATTTTTGCTAAAATTCTTAATATTCTAATAATAATTATCACTATTAGTGGGCGTTTAGTTCTTAGGGAGGTCAAGAATATTTTTATCAACACAAAATATCGATATGGGTATAAAATAATATGTATTCACTAATGTTAATTGGTTATATTTGGTCTGGTAAATTGTGGGGGAGGAGGGGGGATAAATTTTAAAATGCCATAAATTTTTTTTATTGCTGTTTACTTCTTTACAAGCAAATCATCCATATTATATATTTTTCCAATTTAACTATATAATCGGCGCATATATTTTAATTGAAATTGAAGATAAAATTTGGAAAAATTATTATTTAAACAAATATTATATAAATGACATTTAATGGAACAATTGATACCATTTCTGAAACATTGGCATTTGTTTATTGCTGTAACCTTTTTGGCATGCAAATTGATTGACCATTACCATAAGAAGGACTTCTTGATGTTGTTATTAAAGAGATCGTATTATCAGGAACTAGTAAATTATTAAATTTCCTTGATTTGTCAACATTATTTTTTAAAAATAGGAAAACAATTTTTACCAAATTAATTTCAAAACATAATTTCTCGCCCTCTATTTGGATAATTTTGGCTTCAATATTTTTGAGTCATAGAATGGATCTATCATTTTTATTTAATGGGATTAATATGTAATTCGCAATGTATAATTTTTTTTTAAATTTTATATTTGTAAACATTGTCTTGCTTATTCCTATTTATTAAATAGGAAAGCGAAGGCAGTCTAGCTTAAATATTTTCTTTGCTATTACCTATTGCGATCGTGATTTTTTATCTTGCCATAGATTTGTATTGCCCAATTTATATTTCATTTTCCCCAAGAGAATATATTTAGCTTTGTAAAATGATTCATAAAAATTCCGACTTTTTATTATGTGAGGTGAGCAATCGCCCTTAGGTTCATTAGTTTTATCTAAGTTATATAATAAATATAGAGTATTTGTACTAGTCGGATAAGAAACTAAAGTGAAATCTAGTTTAATATAATAAATATATAAAAATGAAGAGTTAAATTAGTAGCCTATTGTGAGTTAGAATTGAATATAAAGTTATTAAGTGCTAATAACATTTTGCAAAACATTATTTTTGGCAAAGTTACTAGCATTATCATATAATTTAAATAATTATTTTATGTATTTTACAACTCATTACAATTTTTATTTATAAATTAATTTTTATCGATGTAACCTCGTAATAAAATTATTAAAAGAAATTTTTTTTTTAGTATTTTTTTACCATTAATCATTTCTAGTGTTGTTAAACGTCTCGATTTGAGCTGATTTTTAAAAACGGCTAACTCAATGTTTTATTCAAAAAATATTATGCAAGTCTAAAGATTTTGCTCATAGTTGATATAAAGGTTTGGACATCTATTAGGGAAATTTCGAGGGTTAGATACTATTTTTCTGGCTAGTTAGCCGTTTTTAAAAAATCGGCTCAAATCGAGCCGTTTAACAAACTAATCATTTTCTTAAAAAACTACACACATCCTCCAATCTAATAAATATTATAATTTTATCAATGATGATAGTAGTAGAGATAAAGTAGAAATAAATTGCACATGAAATTTATTAATATTACTGGAAATTTATTAGGTAAAATGAAATATTTAAAAACAAAATAGACAAGGAGAAAGAGGAAGATAAGAAAAAAGTTAGCATATATTATATATTTAAATTGAAACCCAAAAAAAGATTAAATTTTTTTTATCTTTATTCTATTTTATTTCTTAAAATTTTATCAAACCAGACATTCTATTATTATATTGAGTGTCTAGCTACTAAAGAAAATTTAAGTCGTTTCAATGAAATCTCTGTTGTGACAGGAAATTTATAAATAATCTATATTTAATATATACTAAGGGAGATTAGGAATAAAGGTATAAAAGAATTATTTTAATCAAATTATTTTATATTATGTAGGACAACCCCAACTTACAATCTCTCTAATTTTACGTGAAAGCTTGTTTTTGGCCACATAAATAATTTTAACTGACCATATAATTTTATTATAATTTATGAAATGACTAATATGTAAAATAAATATATATATAATTATTTAACAAATTCTGACCCCTTATAACAAATTTTATTTTTAACCTCGGCCCCTCAAACGAACTCAATGCAACCTATTAACCAAGCGGGTATTATTTAAGTCAAAAGATATTTTAATTAGATACTATTTGATAGCCATATCAATATTTTGTGTTGATAAACATATTCCTGACACTTCAAGATCTAGACCCGCCTATAGAATTTTAATTATTATTACAATCAAAAGATATTTTAATTACTTTTTATTTGATATCCTTTTTAAAAAATTTTACCCATCCCCTCCCATTCACCCCCCAGACCAAGTTCTACCTATCAAAACCAAGAATGAATATTTCAGTCAAAATATTTAAATTAGCCATTATTTGATACCCATATTAATATTCTGTTTTGATAAAAAAATTCCTGACCCCTCAAGAGCCCACTTAATGTTAATTATTATCACAATCAAAAATATTTTAATTACCCTTTATTTGATACCCATATTTTAAAAAAATTTCACCCCCACCCCCCAGGCCAAGTCCTACCCATTAGACAATTAATGAATATTTTCAGTCAAAAGATATTTAAATAAGCTATTATTTGATATCCATATCGATATTTTGTTTTGATAAAAATATTCCTGACCCCCCCCCCAGACCTTGACTTACCCATTAAGGGGAAGAGATTGACCTTCAGTTGAATAGATCTTTGACTAGCTATCGATTGATACTCTATATTAGACATGTTTACTTTCATAACGTCAAAAAAAACAACATTGAAAATTAATAAATAACAATAAAATTAAAAAGAAATAAAAGTAAACTCGTGAAAAAGATGTTAAATAAGATTTCACTTTATCACATTTAAAAAGTAATAATACTCTATTATCATTCCTTAACTTAAACCCCTATCTTTTTATTTATCCCATTAAAACTTATGATGATCCCGAATAGTTTTAATCCCTTTAAAAATTACGACATATATTTTTTTTTATGTTGAAAAATTAAAGAAAACTATCTTAAGAAAAATGTGGTAAATTTGTTTCTTCGATAGTAAGAAAACCACTAATATTTTGGTGCCATGAACAGAATAATTTTTATGGTTTTACCATCATATTTGCCTGATTAAAATTGGATTTGAAGGATATTAAAGGGGAAATGTATGGGGTTTATTTTAATTAATTTATAAAAATGGGTTTACCATTGATATCTTAAAAAACTAGTAACGAGGAGGCTAAAATTTTGAATCTCATTCTAGTATACATTTCATGTATAAACCAATTACTTGATAAAATATGAATTATAATGGTCAACATCTTCATAAGATAGTTTAAATCGTTTAGAATTGTTATTTATTTCATTATTTTCATTTTTCTTTTTATTAAGCACATTACTATCCTTTATGAATGCTTTAAATAAATCATCATATATGAGAAGATATTTTATTCAAACTTGATTGGTCATTTAAATTTATAATTTGGCTAGCATTTTTATCTTCAATATCATTTTGATTATTACATGTACTATGATTATCTAGGTAATTAAATTCAATTTTATTTTCTTGTTCAATATCAATTTTTGACTCAATATGACTTATATAACTGTTGTGATAATTAATAGTTTTCCCAATCCCACCCAAAACCTCAATAGCCTTTTGTCAATAAAATATATAAATAAATATAATAATAGATTTAAATATTTTTAAAAATTATAAAAAAAAATTTTAATTTTTTATATATATTAACCGCAGTATCTTGTTTCAAAAAAGCAATTTCAAGAGCTGTTTTGTTGTCATTTGTTATAATATCTAAGTCTGCATTACTGATCACCAATAAACGTAAAACTGTTATACAACTCATATGAGCAGCATGACACAAAGCCTTAATAAATATATCTTTTAAATATTTAATATATCATTATACAGTCATTCCTTCATTATCTTGAAGATTTATAGCTGCATGATAATGAATTAAATAATTGACAACTAAAGTTCTGCCTAACCTTGCTGAATACATTAGAGCTGTCTTTCCTGAACTGATAAAATTAATATAAATAAAATATTTCATACAAACCTGTCTTTAGCATTTATATCAATAAGTGGTTCTAAATCTTGAAAGAATTTAGGATTTTTAATTGGAATTAATGTTTGAATAATATTTAAAATTTTATCATCCATATGCTGCTGGGTACTTAAACAGCTTAATATCAAAGGAGTTTGCCCTGATATCAATGAGGAAGGCAACAAATTCACATATTTTAAATGCAAAGGGATGTTATCATTTAATTTAGGCAAGCTTGAAGTTAACCCTATGTTACAGCCATTATTAACAAAAAATATAACAATATCCAGTTGTAAAAAATAACAAGCTAGCATTAATGGAGTCCATCCCATTGAAAGGTAAGAATTTATATCTGATATTTTTCCTAGCATTTATTAACATAGTAATAAAAGTGAAAGAGCTTACCATCAGCAAAAATTTGTTTTATTTTAAATAATTCACCACCAGCAATGGCTTGTATTAAATATTCTTGCATTTTTAAATCCATCTTCCTTGCTTGCTCAAAAATTTTAAATGAACCATCGGTGTAATTAAGGTGAAAATTGACAGGTATAATCAGAATTGACAGGTAAACTGAGAATGGTAAGGCAAAAGTGGGTAAAATTTCTATTTATAGTATATTTTAGCAATAGGCGTGAGTGAAGCCAAAAAAATTTTAATTGGGTGTTCTATCTCAGTAGCTAATAATCCCTTTGCGATTTTTATTTCTTAATATAATATTTCAATCAAGGTTTAATAAGGATGCATTGAAACCATTTTATCTGTAATAGATTTTTTTTCAAGGGAGCGAGGCATGTATTAAAACAAGATCCAAGTTATAATCATTGTCAGAAAGTTTTTAGTTAAACAAATAATCAATTATTTTATTATAGTTAAAGTTTCTAGTATATAAAACTAGATTCGAGTTTTTTAAAATGACCCGATTATGATTTTAGCCAAAACAAAATTATAGAGCCTCGTGATTTGGCAAATAAATTATCAGCTATGTATGAGCAAGATTTCCAGGCGTACATAATATTATTTTGCTCATAATCTTAATGGGCCGTTTTTAAAAATACATCCGAATCTGGCTTATCAATAACACTAATAGTTTCCATTTAAAAAATACCAAGGTTACTTTTCACAAACAAATTTTAATTTGGCATCAACAAAATAAACGTGAAGATTTTATGGCATTTTACGAACACTTGAGGATTTTTTGAGGGTCAGATTCAATTTTTTAATATTAATTATGATAATAGGCCTAATATGCTTAGCAGGGTTCTTCCAAAAAGATTTGTATTAAAGCTCTTAATGAGAGGTTTAATGAATTTGATCTAATCAATAATTTATTTACAGTGTTTTTGTTTTTCAGAATATATATATCTTTTATAATTTAAACATTTCGTGAAAAGTAGATATAAATCTGAAACTATTCATGTTAAAAAAAATGGAAAGTATTAATTTGGAATTAAATATGGCGTTCAAGAAACTGAGGGAACAGGAGGAAATTAGTAATATATGTATATTGAAAAAATAAAGAATTGAATAAAGATTTGCATCGGATAATTATTTGAATAAAATAATGGAATTGGAAAGTAATTTAAATGTAATTTTAAATGAAATCAAGAATGATGAGCCAAAAGTGGTTAAAAAATTGAATGTATATAGTGATGATCACCCAGAAGGTTTGGATAGATCGGTTGTTATCTTAAAAGAGGTAAAAGAATTGAAAGATGTAATATATGGCAGGATATATGTAAATTGATTCATAGGCGTAGCCAGGGGGGGGGGGCAAGGGGAAATTCTCCCTCATCCCTTCAGAAATTTATCACTTTTTGTAAATATCATTTTTAGCTAATAAAAAATGTCACCCTTAGTCCTCCCCTTACTCCCTGACCCCCAAATATGTATTATTATTTTATGGAAGGCATAAACAAGGTACGAGTAAAACAAACTTTTATTGAAAAATTTATATATCTGTTTTTTACAAAAATATATTACACTTTATATACATTTTCAGTAATCAGTTTTTGTAACTATTCACAAAATAAAATGATATAAAAATAAGGTTTTTAGTATGTTAAATAAGAAAAGACAATTTTAAACTCTTTAACATATTAAAATAGAAAAGACCAATTTTTAAAAGGTATTTTGAATATCATATAATATAAAAACCTTCAAAAAATATAAATATAATATGACATATAAATTAGTCATTTTCAACATGTATGCATATATCTTAAATAATAATTTAGAAAGAATGTAAAAGTTGATATTTTTTTATAAAACTATTCATCATAATTTATAGATTTTTGGAAAAATAAATTTATAAATAAATAAAATGAACCAAAAATGTTTTTTAATAAATAGAATATAAGCCAAAGATAAGTCTTAAGACAGAAGTGAAATGTATTATAATTATTAATAATAGATCCATAAAATTACTAAATAATATAATATATCAAATATAATTTTTTATAAAGTGAGTAATTTTAATTTATTTATCTTATTAAAAGTAGAATATAATTATAAAACTATTGATAAAATTAAATCATAAATTAAAAAAATATTAAAGCACAATACAAACAGTTGAATATTATATGTCGTAGATTTACAGTATATCTAATTATCAAATGACAATCAAGTAATTTTTACCAATATAGCGAATTACATATTTTACAGAAAACTATAAAATATTGATAAGGACATCAGAAAATATCTTAAGACATTGTGGGATGAAATGAATAATAGATTAAATTTTAATATCATTTTTACTTAAAATAAATAGATGGCGTTAAATAATTGAATGCAAATTGTTGCTATATTTAATATCAAGAGCATTGATTAATAAAATTTGTTAAATTATTAAGTGTAATATATTCTCTAACTGTCAAATATGTCTGTATAAGTGGAATTTTACCCTGTATTTTATAACTAATTCTCAGAGTTGGGCAGTACCGCGAATACTTGTATCTAAGATACAAGATACAAGATCCTTTTGTATCTTGTACTCAGTATCTTATTGACATTTTTAATAAGATACTAGTATCTGTATCTAAGATCCTTTATTTTGAAAAGTATCTTGTATCTTTTTCATTTTCTTTGAAAAGATACAGATACAGATTCTTTTTAATATTCATGTTTAAAACATTTACATATCACACAATGTAACTTTATTTTCTTCATAAAATCTTGTATTATTTTCTTTATTTTTTCCTTCTATATTTTAAATATATTGATAACCAAAATTAGTTGGAAATTTTACAAATCACAAAGATAGATAGATTAAAAATAACAACACCAAAACTAAATAAGTAAATGTTATATTTTATATGTAATATTTTTTAATTTGTAGAATGTTTAACATTTATATTAGTGAAGATGAAATTATGGAGATAGGTTCTCCTGAATCAAACCCGAATCTTAAAATTCTAGATGGAAAATTTTTTAAAGTAATTCATGTGAAAAAGGACAACAAGCCGAATGTCAAAATTGCACAAGTAAAAAAGTTAATAAAGATTGTACAAACTCCTCTACAAACTTTGTAAACATACTAAAGTATAATATATACATTTTTATTTTATAATTATTAACATAATAATACCTATACTTAAGTCCCTCTTAGATATTTGTTATTAAAATTTTTATAGAAGATAGTTGATTATCAAATTAAAATCATTTTGGATATATATATTTTAGGGGTGTACTGATACCACTTTTTAGAGGTCGATTCGATCCGATATTCCCGATATTAAATTGATATCGGCCGATTACCGATCCGATATCATATCTAATTTAGTATTCTGTAAAGATAACAATGGTTTTAATTTTTAATATACTATTTATTAGTACAACATCTATAATTTAACTATACCATAAATTATGTCATTTAAATATATTATAATGATCAGTTATAGTTTATATTCATCTCAATTGCAATTCTAAAAGTATAAAAAATATTTTTATTGTTAAATCACTTTTATATAATAAGTAATAACATTAATCTATATACTTATTAAGCAATAAACATTTATATTATGAAATTTGAAATAAATATTTAAAATAATATTTAACATTAATATAGCGAAGATTTCTTTTTAGAAATACCAATATTTCCAATTTATCAGAGGTCAGCTTGCAGCGATAGCAACTGTCAATATCACCAGCTTCACTAAAAAGAGATTCTTAAGAGATTATCGCACACTTTTATAAACAGAATGCGCAAAAAAATAACAATATGGTAGAATGTTTATTAATTAATTATTATTATTAAAAAAATATACATAAAAATGGATTTCGATTTTATTTATAAAAATAAATGATTTTAGATAAAACTATTTTTTTTAAATTTTATAACATTTTATTTTTGTTAAAGAAGCCTCGGATCAAATTTTATAATATTGATCGATAATTGATATTTTAAAATGGGTAAAATATTGGACCGATCCGATTCTATAAAAAATATTGGCACATCCCTAATATATTTTATATTTAATTATTTTAGCAAGTTCTTAAATATTTAAGCTACAATTGATATATAATATTAGATATTTAAAAGGCTCTTAATAAAATTATTATAATAAGGTAGAATTTAACTTTATTAGTTATTTTTATTTATTAATGACATAAGTAAAATTACATTACAGTATTTATTTACAAAATTTAGTCAATTTAAAATGCATTAAAGAAAATTGTTATGTATTTAATAATTATAATATAATGTTGTACATTATTTTCATAATTTTTATATATAATTAATGATTTTGCAAGAAATAAAAAAAAAATTGAAAAGAGATTTAAATGATATTTATATATATGATATTACAAACGCAAGAATTAATAAGTTATATTAGAAAATAAACTAATTTAAAAAATACATAAATATCACAAACAAGTAATGATAAATACTTATTAAGGATCATGAATAAAATAAAACTGGTATTTTTTTTAAGAGATGCCATTTAGCCATACACTCCTAATATAAGCTATATTTAGAACAACACAGAAAATAACCTGCAAATTCTAATAAATCATTTGATTTAATTTTTTTTCTTATTTGCACATTTTTAATTACCATTAAATATACTACTCTCCCTTCCCTGTTTAAGCTATTAATGGTTAAAAATTAATATTAAAATCCCTAGTTATTATAATTAATTCATCAATAAATATTTTATTAATTATTGCAAATATTCATTCTTATATGTGTGTGCTAAGTTCTTCACAAATAAATAATAAAAACTGTATTCTGTAATGATAATTTAAAAGTATCTTGTATTTAAGATACTCTAATTTAGTAAAAGATACAAGTATCTTTTATCTTGTATCTTTTTGATATTTTGAAAAAGATACTAGTATCTGCATCTAAGATTCATTTTTTTATAAAGAATCTGTATCTGTATCTAGATTTTTTTACGGAGGACCTGCCCAACTCTGCTAATTCTATATAATAGAGTAAAATCAACTATATGTGTACTTACTTTTTATAAATAAATTTCTTATAATTGTTTGGAATAAATTATTACCATGCT